GCGGGAAACCGTCGGGTCCTGTCCGTGACTGCAGCTTTTTATGACGTCCAATGTGAGGTGGCGTCTCAGGCGGGTTTTCGGGGTGTCTGGCTCTCGGAAGCTCACCCTGGTTTTCACCCAGAGGAGATTACTCCGCGGTTTTATAAAAGGCCGAAGTGTCTCCAGGGTAAAATCTGGAAGAACTTATCAAACTCCGCAACACACGGAAAGATGTATGCGTATATGAAGTTGGACCCCCCAATTTATTGCAAATTATTGTAAATTAATTGAATATTATTGTAATTACAATACCCGAATTTGTAACCGCCTTCGGCCGTTGAGTCAAACAAGAGTTTCGAGGCGATAATTTCAAGTCTAAACCTGTCTGATCATTTCCGAACAAATTGAAAGTAATTGTAAATCCAATTCTCAAATTTGTAATTTATTAGATAATTTGTAAATCGATAAACAAAAATCGGGCGGCCAAGTTCACGCAATCACCGATTTTGACCGATCGAATTTGGACGAATTGCAATTAATTATAAATTATTTGTAAATAATTGTTAATTAAATTTTTGAATTTGTAAACCATCAGAAAAATTAAAAATCTAAACATAAAAGTCGAGGGGCCAAGTTCATGCAGTTCCCGATTTTGGCCGATCATGTTTAGCAATCTGAACAACTATACGTTGGCAGATTTTGTGTTATTAGATACTTAAGAATAATCGTTATTTTTTTGTTAGATAGTATGGAAGTTATAATAATTTCCAATTTAATTTTACCCTTTCATTGCTTATAGCTATTTGAGAATTTTTACCATCTACTACCTTTGAAAACCTTTTTGGGTGAATTGTATTAAAAATGTATTAGATTATTATAGACATGTTATAATAACTTGATTCGCCAAAATTGAAAAAATAATCAAAATTTTGTTAAAAAGCCCGAGCACTTTTTATGCATTGGTATTGATAAATTCATTATATAATAAACGCAATGTTTTCAGCAAAAATTATAGAAATGTAGCATAATACTTAAAGTAAAAAAATAATTAAGTTGTTATAGACTATCGTAATTTTTAGGCATTCAGTAAAAATTCAAACTTTAAATGCTTGAAAATAAATTTTAAATATTTTTTAACTACCATTGTAAAAATTAAAGACCGGTTTTTACATGAAACTCGTATTTTTATTTTCAATATCATACGCATGTAGTCAATGTGTGTCCACAAATCATTACTTGATTGATTAAATATCAAAATTTTATAGTACATACTTTTGCATGTTCTAACGTAAGTGCATGTTCTAAATTTTTTTGCATATATAAAAAAATCCGTACAAATATAGGTACTCCTAACGATCTAAAAAGGAAAAAAAACAGAATATAGGTACGTTTATATAATATTAATATAAAATATTTCACGTCTCAAAGGATATTCGGACGCTAAAAATAGGTTAGGTTATTGTTATTACAATTTTATTTAACCCGTCATCAGTATCGCTATATACTGTTACATGTTTGGTATCGTGTTAGCGTTACACTAACATTATCGTTTTTTTCGGTTCTGTGAAATATTTATTGAACTTGGAATAGTGAAATAAAGATAAAAATATTTGTCTAATTATATGCTACAATAATAATTATATTGATTAATAGCAAATTTCACTCAAATTTTTGGTAGAAAAAAAAACTATTATAAAAATTTAAAAAATTATAATTCATCATTCGAATTTTTTTCTCGAAGTGCCCACTACGGTAAGATTATGATTTTTTAGTAACTCATTAGCCAATGGAATTGAATTGTACCAATTGTCCATGGTAATATTTCGACCAGTTTTTAATATCGACGCTATTAGTCGTTTTACAATACTTGACGGAGAATTGTCACATTTGAAAGGGCCATCTGGCTGAGTTCCAACGTAAACCTCCATATTAGACGTATAAAATGTACGAGAATCAACGAGTGCCTGTATTTTGATGTCGTATTTATTTGGTTTATTTGTTATATATTGTCGAAAATTGCAACGCCCTCGAAACCCTTCTAGCATCTCATCTATAGTGCAATTCTCTCCCACAGTATAATTTTCTTTACATCGCCGAACAAAATCATCAAAAACTGTACGAATAGGTGCTAGCTTGTCTATTGCTCTATCATTCCTTGTTTCAATATCATCAAATCTAACAGCTTGAAGTAGTAAGGAAAAACGTTTTTCTGACATAACTGCCCGGAAATATTCAGGAGAAAATCCATCAGTTGGCCACAAATCATGTAGGTTCAAATGATTGCTACGCAAATACGTACGGCTGTATGTAAACTGCGGCAAAATTTACCTTTTTCTAAAGATCGATATGTAAACTGCGGCAAAAAAAAAATTAAGATTATACAATCTGCGGCAAAACCGATAAGATACATTATACAAACTGCTGCAATTTATTTTATATAGGTACATTCTATTATATACTATATCATAATATATACCTGTCTATGTGTACTTAATATATAGGTACCATGTACGTAATTTGTCTTGCGTACAAATTGGTAAGGTAAATCCAAATGTATTTTTAAGTTTTAACGAAACATTTCGGTAATATCGGTTCCTGTACTTTTGTTAATACTAGTTAGTACCTACTTACGTCTTACAAGTGTTAGTAGTTAATATTTATTCAACGTCATGGAGTTTACAACAATGTTTAGCCAGAATGGCAAAATATTAACAGTGTTAAACAATTTTAAATTCAAATTTAAATACGAATCAAAGACAAATGGTAATAAAACATGGGAATGCGTCAATAAAACATGCAAGGCCAAATTGGTCATCAACAAGGAAAACATTTTTGATCAAGAAAAATCTGTTTTGAATCATAGTCATGAATCAGATTCTTCAATTGAACGTCAAGCAGTAAGTAATAATATTAAACGAAAAATATCTGAAAGCAATATAAACAAAATCCCATCTAAAATAATAAGAAAAGAACTTCGCAGTTTAGAAAACGATATTCAATTACTGGTTAATGATATTTCATATATTCGTAGAAATTTATATAATAAAAAAACAAAATATCACCCACCACTTCCCAAGGATATTAATGAAGTACATACAGTTCTAATAAATATGAATATTATGACTAACAAAAATGAAAACTTTTTGCTAATTAATGATAAGGAAACAAATATAATTGTATTTACATGTCTCACAAATTTAAAATACTTATGTTCTATGGAAAAAGTTTTTATGGACGGAACATTCCAGTTCTGTACTACATTTTTTTATCAGTTTTTTGTACTGCATGGTTTTCAAAATGGTATATATATGTCTCTGGTATATGCATTGCTTCCCAATAAACGTACATCGACTTATGAACATTTATTTAAAAAGTTACGTGATGCATGTTTGACCGCAGGATTTGTACTTAACCCGAATATGTTCGTAATTGATTTTGAAATTGGAATACACGAAGCGGTTCGCAGTATATGGCCAACCAGTATTATTCGAGGTTGTAATTTTCATCTTGGCCAAGCGTGGTTTAGAAAATTACAAAATTTGGGTCTATCTAAACTTTATATTGAAGGAGTTACAGATGAAGGAAAATTTTTAAATTATATTTTTGGTCTCCCATTCCTTGAACCTGATGAAGTCGAAGATTCGTTTGTTTTTGATTTAATAGCAGATATGCCATCTAATAATAAAATAGTACAATTTTGTGATTATTTAACAGAAACTTATATGCAAGACGTATTCCCTCCTTCTTTGTGGGCATCGAAATCAGAAGTTATAACAAATAATGTATGTGAATCTTTCCATTCAAAATTTAACGCATATTTTTATCATCATCACCCATCACTATATAAATTTATTAGGGTGGTCCTTAATGTATAAATGATGATTTTATTTTTTTTAATTTTTGATCGGGCTACCCATGGAATTTGTTAAAAACCATAAAAAAATGAATTGTGTAAAGTTTCGTAATAATTGGTTTACCCTAAGGCGTGCCTCAAGAGGGTTGAATTTAAAATAAGGGTGATTTTTGATTTTTTTTAAATTTTAGCCTAAAATATTTAAGATAGGCAAAAAAATACAATAACAAAATATTTTTTAAATTTTTTATCCTATAAAAGTTGTTACTTGTACTTTTTTCAATCAACTACTCATTCACCCACAAAATAACAAATACTCGTTTTTATTATATAATAATGTATTATTTAATAATAAAAATAACGCGTTGCCTATATTTAACATTTTTTACATACATAAATACAATACATAATGAATTAATGAATAATAATTTATAATTTAATATAATATTTGAATTTATGTAAATCAAGTTAAACATCGCAATTAAATATAAAACATACTTACAAAATACCAGACATAAATTACATAATTAAATATCATTTTTTAGTGTATTTTTTTTTGCATCAGGAAATCTTGTCCGGTAATCATATATGGTCTGAATTAAAAATTGTTTTTGGTCCTCGTTTTTAGTGATTAAATTATTAAAATCACTGATCAATTTTACTCCTCGTTCTGCTGCGTCATTTACAACTTTTAAGTTGGTAAATTTATTAAGACCTTGTATGAAATGCTGATTGTTATTCCATAATTCAGGATCTTTATTTAAAAAATCGGTTTTAATATTAAACCGATAAAATAATTTTAATGATGAGCTGTTGATAAAATCACTAATACATTTAAATTTCAATGAGTTCAAGTTTTTGATATCAATGATGAAACGATTAACATTATTTTCACCGGTGTCAATTATTGTATTTAGTGCTTTTACCATTTTTTTCTTTTCTAATAAAGGAACATTTATATCGAAAAAAGCAAGTGCTGCTGTTTCAGGACTTAAGTACCACAGATGTCCACACATTTTTTTTAATGCGACAAAGGAAACTTTTTGATCAATATTTTCATATTCAATTAAACTCTGAACAAACATGAGATCTTGATATGGCGCTTGAATTGCTATATGAGCTCCAAACCAACTTTTTATGTAAATAGAAATAATAAAAATGCATGTTTCTTGACATGCCTTTTGTTGACGTGTTGACATTTTAAATTGGTTTCGAAATATGAATATTTTTAGGCAATATATTGCCTTGGCCATCCACCTAGCATAATGGGAAGCACCTGGAATACGAAATGATATTCCACGATGTGGAGTTCCTCCGAGAAAAATAATCGTAAGTTCTAGTAGTTCCCTGTAGTCTTCACGAAATTGTTTTTTTTTTTTGAATGATCAAAAGCAAACTGAAGTATATCATTTTTTGTGTGTGATAAAGCCGTACAAACACTACTATCTTCAATGCCCGGATTATAATTATTAGTATTTAATTTGCTCCAGTATTCTTGAAATTTTTTTAAAAGTGGAATATTAGGCCCTGATGTAATGCTAAATTTTTCTTCAAATACACACCTCAATACTAATTCATAGATATGATGACGGCACATAAGATATAACATATCTTTTTTGAGACGTTGCTCTAATAAGACACACGCACCATTCAAACGACCAGTATTAGATGCTGTAGTATCACAACAAACTGCAACAACTGAATCACTAATCCCCCAATCAATTAATAACTGAAAAACGTTTTCAGCCTGTTCTTCTCCAGTTCCAGCCGATAACTTAGGAACCCCTAGAAGTTTCTCGCGTCCTTCACATGAAATTAGCACTGGCAGTCTTTCCACTAAATCTTTACCAGTTAATGAAGGTAACATTTTTTCATCCCAATGTACAACAGATTCTTTAAATAAATCATTATTAAAACTTGAGCGTAGTTGTTCTGCTCGCAGTTTTCGTACTTTTTCACGAACCCGGTGAATCGACGAACGATTTATTACTAAATCATCAACATTATGTCCTAATGCCTGAGCCGTGGCCATTAATATATGAGTTGCATCTCTGTCACTTACCTTGCATCTATCTAATACAGTTACAAGTTTATCGTTGATAAATTGTGTTCTTCCTCGTTTATTAGTTGTAGTTGTTTCATAAGATTCTTCACAAATTTCCATAACAATAGAGTTGGTTGTATCTTGTATATTTTGGCTCCACGTACAGTCTTCAGACAAACTTTCTTCCGTATCACTTGTAGAATATAGTTCCACAGATTTAACTAAAACAGTATTTGTTTATTATATTAGCTATAATTGAAAGTACCTATCTTCAACAAATTACAAAAATAGTAAAATAAGAAATACTTACAAATAGATTTCATTTTGCTTTCATTAAGTTTTCTTTTTTTTTCAGATTCTTCCAATTTTTTAGAGTGTTTAAATTCTCTTTTTTGACTTATCCAATCGACACCCATCAATGCTCCTGGACGACCTTTTTGTCTCTGATTTATTAAAAACTGTTTGTCTATATCAGTAGTCATTATATCTAATGCATCTGCATGAGCATTATCAAAAAGGTCATCAAAACATTGTATAAACTCATTTTCATTTTTAATCTGAGTGTTTGTTCGGCGACTCGAATTTTTCTGCAAACTCCGCCATGTATTATATAACTCTTCTAGCTGTGGTACACAATTACGAACCTCCCTCGTAGGTATTCAAGCTTTTTGCCAAAAAATTAATGTTTCGTCTATCACTAACCGCGCACTTTCACGTACACTTAACTTGACTTCTCGAATGTTAAAAAATAAGACCGATAAAACTTGTTATTAAATAAATACGTTTACGAATATTAACTTTACTTTCCATTTTTAAAATTAAAATTAAAATCAAAGCGACTGTTTGTTAAAGGTGCATTGACAATTATAAACTGATCCATAACAATATAAATGTTATTTATATATAGTAAAAAAAAAATAATATAAATATACAAATAATGTAGCTAAAACCTGTAATGACGTGTCTAATAGACCTGTTAAGACACATATAATATTTGAAAAATACATGTCAACCGTGGTATCCGGCGTGGATGTAATAAAAAAAAAATGCGCGATCAATGTTGATAATGCGAGTAGGTACGAATAGGCGCAAGTATAGACATGTTAAAACATGTATACTTAATATCACACAGTTTTGCATTAATTAATTAATGTATATTAATACGAAGCATTTGCATTAACCAGTTTAACATTGGACTATATTTTAAAAGCTATTAAAAAATTTTATGTGGTTATGACGTGGTTAAATTTGTGAACACGAAGTACATTTGTATGAACTAAACATATGAAATATACTAAAAACGATTTTTGTTATTTTGTGGGCGAATGAGTAGTTGATTAAAAAAAAGTACAAATAACAACTTTTATAGGATATAGAATTTAAAAAATATTTTGTTATTGTATTTTTTTGCCTATCTTAAATATTTAAGGCTAAAATTTAAAAAAAACAAAAAGCACCCTTATTTTAAATTCAACCCTCTTGAGGCACGCCTTAGGGATAACCAATTATTACGAAACTTTACACAATTCATTTTTTTATGGTCTTGAAAAAATTCCATTGGTAGCCCGACTAAATTTAAAAAAAAAAAAAAATAAGGACCACCCTAAAATTTATAGATGCTATACAGGATATTCAAGTTGACACATATATAAAAATTAGAAGTGCAGAAGAAGCGGTAATACAAAAAAGAAATAAAGCGACAACGCAAAAATACAAATTTATAAACGAATAGCGACAAATGAAAGAAAGACGAATTTCATGATATGAATTTTTGAAAAAAGTATGTTTTAAAAATAAACGACAAAGTGTTAATTAGGTACCTATTGTATTATTATTTTATTTTTTAAACTAAATTCTTTTTTGGATTATAAGATCCCTATAACAATCTTTTAAAATAATTTTTAATAATAATAATATTTTTCAATTTTAATATTGGTTTTTTGATTATACTATCATTACTATCATTACGATCTCTTAAAATAATTGTTGATAATAATAATATTTTTCAATTTTAAAAATTGGTTTTTCTTAATTTTTACGCCTAATACTCTAATAGACTATATAATCTAAATAAACAATAAATGTGTATATAGTATATTATAATAGAAGGTATATAAAATAAATTGCCGCAGTTTGTATAATGTATCTTATCGGTTTTGCCGCAAATTGTACAATCTTAATTTTTTTTTTTGCCGCAGTTTACATATCGAATTTTAGAAAAAGGTAAATTTTGCCGCATTTTACTATCTCCCCTAATTACAATAATCCTAAAAGGGCATCTATTTCTTCTTTCGTAGCAGGGTTGCCACCCGTCCCGTATTTCACAGGACAGTCCTTTTTTTGTTTGATTTGTCCCGCGTCCTGGCTTAAAGGGTGTCGGGACGCAATATGTCCCGTATTTGATTGTTTATTAAAATTATACATAAATATCATGATATTTTAAATATTTTCACCAAATCAATTTATTTTCAAACTATTTGTCTCTCATACGCAGCAAATTATAATCAGTTGTATGTATTAACTACTATAATACATATTACATCCACTGTGATGTTTATCTGTTTCTATAATTAGATAATAATAATAGTATTCAATATAATATCATATTATTATAAAAACAAGTTATAGATGTACGCTTAGCGATAGGCGGCGGCTAGTTAATTTGTTATCTGTTTATTTTTTCCAGTAATAAAAATAAACTAATAGTTTACAATAAATTAGTATTAAGTAATAACCGTCGCCGCCGTCAAACACACATATGACAAATTGACAAATTATATGTATAGATCAGTTTTCGCTTTTCAGTCTGTTCGTTCTCCGCCGTCGTAGTTCCGTGCTCGGTTTTTGTCGCGTATGCGTATTCGACATCTTCAATCTTAATCTCTGGTATCAGAAATAAAACACTTGTACACGTCAATAAATTCAATAATTAAATAATGTCAAACTGAAAAAGATTAGTAATATTTGAGGGAAGTTTAAAGGCAAGATATAATTGGTTTGCTAAAAGTCATCTAGAATATTTTTCGTTGCACTGTTGTATAAACTAAAGACTTTTTATTTCATCACGTGGATTATCTGACGTTAAACAACAGAAAATCAATGTACATAAAATCAATCATAAGTCATCACTCATCTCAAATTTTAATAAATTTTTCATCACGCCTATAACTGTAATCTCAAAAATTGCTTTGGCTGGATTAGCTGAAGTTTTATAATGCAAACATATGTATCATAATAATTCATTGGATTGTTCTTAAAATATGCCAAAATTATATCCCGTTGAATAGCTAAAAGTTAGCCTGTGATCGGACAAAAGCAGAAAGTATCACGATCAATGCTTTATGGGCCCCAAAGCAGAATCAACTGAACAGATCTAGAGTTATATAAGTAAAGTATATTTGTCTTTGCAACTGATATATCAATAAGGCAATCCATAAATGTATCCAATATGTGTAAATATTTTCATTTACTGATGGACGGTCAAAGCACACTATAGATTTTTACGAAAACAGTCTGAAACTGCAGAGCTATATTAAATCAACTAACTTCAACAGCAATACGTAACTGAACGGAAGCGGCCACTT